TCTCACCAAGGAAGATGTTGTTAGTTGCCACTGAGTCAGCTCCGACTCCTAGTGACACTATGTACAACATGTACAACATGTACAACAGTACACTGGCCAGTCCTGCACCATCCTCACAGTGCTTGCTACATCTGAGCCAATCACTGCCACCACTGTGTCAATTCATCTCACTGAGGGCTGTCCCCTTTTTCACTGACCCTCCACTTTTACCAAGCATGATATCCTTCTCCAGGAAATGGTCCCTTCTGACAACAGGACAAAGTAGGTGAGATAAAGTCTGGCCATTGTAACTTCCAAGGAGACTTCTGGCTGCACTTCTTCCAGGACAGATTTGTTCATTCTTCTGGCAGTCCATGGGACTTTCAGTATTTTTCGCCAACACCACAACGCAAAAGCATCAACTCTTCTGCAGTCTTCCTTCTTCACTGTCAGCTTTCACATGCACATGAGGGTACTAAAAATGCCATAACATGGGTTAGGAACACGCTAGTCTTCAAAGAGACATCTTTGCCCGTCAGCACTTTTAAAAGGTCTTTTGCAGAAGATTTGCCCAGTGTAATATGATGTCTGATTTCTTGACTGCTGCTTCCACTGGTGTTGATTGTGGATCCAAGTAGCATGAAATCTTTGACAACTTCAATTTTTTCTCCATTTATCATAATGCTGCTCAGTGGTCCAGTTGTGAGGATTTTCTTTTTCTTGATGTTAAGGTGTAATCCATACTGCAGACTGTAGTCTTTAACATTCGTTGGTAAATTATTAAAGTCATCTTCACTTTCAACAAGCAAGATGGTTAATGAATCTTCCTCCAATTCTGATGCCACGTTCTTCTTCCCAGATTATTTGCTCAGCATACAGACTGAATAAGTATGGTGAAAGGATGCTACCCTCACACACTCCCCTCTTGATTTTAAACCATACAGTATCCCCTTGTTCTGTTCAAACGACAGCCTCCTGGTCTATGTACAGGTTCCTCATGAGCAAACTTAAGTGTTCTGGAATTCCCATTCTTCTCAATGTTATCCATAATTTGTTATGATCCACAGAATTGAATGCTTTTGCATAGTCAATAAAACACAAGTAAATATCCTTCTGGTAGTCTTTGCTTTCAGTCCAGATCCATCTGACATCAGCATTGATATCCCTTGTTCCACATCCTTTTCTGAATCCAGCTTGTATTTCTGGAAGTTCTCTGTCAATATACTGCTGCAACCATTTTTGAATTATCTTCAGCAAAATTTTACTTGTTTATGATATTAATGATATTGTTTGATAATTTCCACATTCTGTGGGATCACCTTTCTTTGGAATGGGTACAAATATGGATCTCTTATAGTCAGTTGGCCAGGT